TTTTTTTTTGTTTGGGGGGGGGGGGGGATGAATTTTGATGTTTTGGTAAATTTATAAATATTTTGTTGTAAATAATGAAAAATAGTTAATTTTATGTAGGAAACGAGAGAGCAAATTTTCTAAAATTTTAAACTTAAGAAATTTAATTGACTCAATAAAAAGCTTAAAGAACATAATCTAAACTAAAGATGCATTAACGGCAACTTTTTGCAATGAAATTATATGAGGCACCTCATGGTCCGCGCGATTTTAGGAGAATAGCACCATCTTTGGTGACATATTTATATTTGATTTCATTTTCATGGTCCATTCGTGTCTCACTATTTTAATGATTTTGGTAAAGGAAAAATACGCAAGCTTATTGTACTAGTATTTGCTTTATATAATTAATTATGTTACTCTTAAGTGTTGATGATGGAATAAGGACAAGAGAGAAGCTTGACCCGATCAAGAGGGTGAATTGGCCTCTTGATTTTGATTTGAATGTGGGAAAGATTATAAGTAGTTAGTTGCTGGGTGGCTATTATATATATATATATATATGCTTGCTTGAAGAGGATTATCATGGCTTTGTCGTTGGTTATTTAGACATGTCAACTTAACACTGCAACTTCTGCCACTGTTTCTTAGGATCACTGCCTTGAGCCAAGTAGTCATAATAATTTGATACTCATCAATGATTAATGCTTTTTTTATTTATTAAAAAACCAATCAATGATTAATAATGCCTTATCTTTTCAAAATTAGATATCAAAACTGTACTAATGATTGTTTTATAATGAAAATTATGTATCCTTTAATAATTTTACTTAAATTGTTACGTAATAATTATTTTCGCTGTTTTCTATTATTATAATTAAGAAAAATACACACATATATATATATTTAAAATATAAGAAAATTTTAATTATTTTTTATATTTAATGTTACTATTCCTAAAATATTTTTACTTGTGATATTAGTGCACCAGTTGTTTGAACATTTCTAATAAAGTTGATTTAGAAAAAAAAATATTATGAGATTAATAAAATTTAATGTATTTTAAATATTTTTTTTAATTCATCGATTAAAGAACATTTGGCAGACCCTTTCCTGGAAATGAAACGAAAAATTAGTCTACCACTGATTTCGAAATATACATTGCATTATATGAAGAACCGATTTTAAGTTCACTTTTATAAATTTTAACTTTGGCAAACTGTATTTCAACAACGAAATAGACTTTATATCTGGAACCTGGAAAAACATTTAACTCTCAACAATCCATTTCCGGCCTACTGAAAATAAATTCAAATCATATTTTCTACGAAGGTAGTTGAAAACGTGGACAAAAAAAAAGAGAAACAAACGAATAATTCAAGTTTTCTCTCTTTTGGTACTAACTCTAGTAAAAATACCAGTGACATCTTCAACTAACAAATTATAAATGTTTTGATATATATGAAGAGGTGGGTTAAATAAGGTTTGCATACTAATTTTTAAAAAGCTAACAAACTAAATAAGAGTTGTTGAATTCAGGAGCCATGATTTCAGAATTAAAGAAAGAAATAAGGACTTCTAAGTATAGTTGATGCTCGCACAAGTTGGACATTAGTTGAAAGTTGAGTTTATAATCATGCATGAAAGTTTTGTAACCACCACGACCATTTAAGTCTATACCAAAATCACTTATAACACAAAATTTTCCTTCTTTTAAAAGACTTTCAAACTTCTAATTAAGTTAATGTCTTTCTGACAAAGGCATGTATTTTTCAATTTTTGAAAAATAGAAAAATGTATTAAACATTATGATATATGTATTTAGGCAAGAAAAGAATATTCATTAGATTATATAAGTTGAAAAAATGGAAACTGAAATAAGTACACATCCTCATCCATAAGAACCCTCTCCAATAGAAATGGAGTTTTTGATCCATTATAGCTAGAAAGTGATCAAAGTCTTGTAATTTCAAATTTGATATGATAAAATTTATTATCCATGAAATCAAGTAGATACAAGCAACAACATATTGCTAATGAATATAGGAGGAAAAAATAAGAAATTATGCACTTGATATACGTTTTTCATGAAATACAATGATAACTGAAATAAGAGAAAACTCTTCTCAATTACCATTAGTCCATTAGGTCATATTAATCATTTAATAGAAACAACACTTAAGTAAACCATCGTATGAGGATAAAAGCCTTTTATTAGATATCAATTGAATAGTTTAATCTATCCCGAATTATTCAGAACAAAAGTCCAATGCAACATCCATAAATAATTAGGTATTATAACTATATCTATTGATCATTATTAATTATTAATATTAATAATTAAAGAATAATTCTTAATAATTGATTAATTTTAATCTATAAAATTATATTAATTAAATAATTAATCCAACAAAATATGGATATAATTTTTGCATAATAATAATAATAATTATTATTATTATTATATAGAAAATAAATTAAAACATTTATACTAAAAATTATTAGTTGAAGTAATTAGACATTTGTACTTTTTATCTAAATATCATAATTCAATGTTATTGTTTTAAATATGAAATTATGGTTAACTCCAAGCATGTGGTTCAGTAGTAAGAGTTGATTCACGCTTAAGTAAGGTCAGGAGTTTGAATCATGCCTTGTGTATGTAGCCGCGTTAAATCTTGGAGTCAGCTATCTCACCATTTGAATAGCGATGAAATTATGGTTAGAAATATTAGTTTACTTTATAAATACGGACCGATCTCAAATGAGTTATATTTCTTTATCAAACAACTAAATCCTAAAAGATCTATGTTTTATTTTTTTAGCAATCAATCAATTTCACGTCATCCATTATAAAGGATGTGAACACACGAAAATATTGGTTATACGTTATTAAAAGGTTGAACAAAGACGTATCACGTATAATTGACTCACTAGCTAGGCAAGGGCCAAGGGGTTGTATTTGAACAGGGAAAGGGGAAAGAGAAATCTGAAATGCACAGTAAGTAACATAATGTGCCAGCAATATATAGTGGTGGAATTCCTTTTTATGTGTGTTTTCTGGAAATAGTTTGGCTCATATGCATCATTGATCCTTATCTGTTCGTAGTCCAATAAAAATGGACCAACATGACTTTAATTACTACAAGAAACTATTGTGTAGGGTATAGTTGGTAGATCGATAATTATATCTTTTGAACACGTGGTCGATCATGATCGATTCTTAGAGTCATAATTAATCTCTTAATTAAATTTCAATATCTCAATTAGTTAACTTTCATCTAAAAGATGTTCGAGTTCACAAAAGAAATCTTGAAGGAGACATTTCTTTGTAACCAAGCTTTTTTATTCGCTGAAAATGGTCAAGAAGCTGGAGATGCTAAAGTTAGATTAGTCATATCTAGATTAATGTTATTGCTGCTTTAATTGATTGGTTAATATACTGCCGATTTTTATTTTAAATCAATTATTCTTTAACAGAAAGTTATTGACTAGTCCCTTTAAGATATTGATATTTATTTATGAAGCTGTTCTCTCTTAATAAGTTTTATTTCACACATACAAATAAAATACAAATGAAGTAATGAAAGTGAGAGGAGTAATATGCGTCTTAATTGGTGGCTTCTAATTAACTATATGTCAAGTTGAAGAAAATGTTAGAATAATTACGAAATCTTCTATGATTGTATTTTGATCCTAAGATTGTGATTAAATTGTAATTGAAATTTTGATCCACTTTTGTTTGAATTTAATCACAAAATCTTCCGTCATATTTTTTCAACATAAAACCCTCAATTTCATATTATTTTTCTACTTGAATAATAATTAAGAGAATTGAGACATGTTTGATATTTAAAATCTATAATCTATAATCTATAATCTCTCTTTCTCTCTATATATATTCATAAACTGAAAAGTTTAACAATTGTTAAATCCTCAAGAAAACATTTCAAAGGAAGCATCCTCAAACCTTTTCATTTTTAGATTTTGAATTCTATGCAAAAGAAACATACATCACATTTTGAATTTCATGCATATGGGAAGCTAGTTAAGGGTTCTAACAGTTCCTTTGTGGTCCTTGTGCCTAAAATAGATAACCCCCAAAAAGTGGAAGAATATCGACCTATCTCTCTTATTGGGTGCATGTATAAGGTGTTGGCAAAGATATTAGCAAATAGATTGAGGACAGTTATTGGATCAGTAATATCTGAGTGCCAATCTGCTTTTGTGAAGGGAAGATTAATTTTTGATGGTGTTGTGGTGGCAAATGAAATTTTAGAGGAAACAAAGAGGAAAAAACAAGCATGTTT